TACACATACATACACATACGTACACATACGTACACATACATACACATACATACACATACATGCACATACGTACACATACATACACATACGTACACATACATACACATACATACACATAAATACACATACATACACATGCGTACACATACGTACACATACATACACACTCAAACAGTATTTTTAAATGTAATCACAATTTAAAGTGTGTGAGGTGCAGTGTGGTACACACACATTTAATTCCAGCACTTGAGAGACAGAAGCAGACATATCTCTGAAAGTTAAAGGCCACCCTGGTCTACACTGTGAATTCCAGAACAGCCTGAATTACTATTGTATAACAGCTTCCTCCAAGATTGAACTATTCCAGCCTTCAGGAAGTTCCTTAAGCAGGAAGGTAAACAACTCAAAATAGCTCTAGGAAGTCCCTAAAACAGAGTCAGCATGCCAAGACAACCAAGAAAAGCTGAGTCCAATGGCCGAGCTACCTGCATTCTGTATATGTGTTCCAAGATTCCCAGCTTTGTGGCAATGGTGGCGGCTGGGGTGGACCTTGAAGATGCAGTTGTCTTTGAGTCAGTTCTGCTCACGCAAGTAACCCCTACTCCTGTAAGTAACCCCAATAAAACTCATGGGTTCACCAAGTTAGATTTCTATACTTTGGTCTGTCATAAACCCTATCTGGGGTGAATAGACGTTGTGTGCTGTGTCTCACCAGGAAAGATTTTGTGAAACGACAACTACATAGTGAGATTCTAACTCAATAAATAAATAAATAAATAAGTAAATAAATAAATAAATAAATGGGATCTCAAAGAGACGGTTTGCATATCCGTGTCCATAGCTGAAGAGTTTATAGGCACAAAAGTATAGCAGTAACTTAACCTGACATTCCTGCGAGACGGCAGGGGTTTGTTACCAGCACCCACAAGGCAGCTCACAGGCACATGATAGTCACACACATACACACAGGGAAACAAACACACACACGCAAAAAAACTATGAATGAAAAACAATTTTTTTAAATGGAGAAAGAAGCCACCCACAGGGCATTGGACTAAGTGCAATGAATCAGCCGGAGACTTGGCTTGTTCAGCTCCTGTGGGTGAGATCACTGGATCAGTGTTTCTCTCCCGTGTGTGTCAAAAACCTGACAGAGAGAGCCTAGAGGGGGAAAGGTTCATCTGATCTCAGCCTCCAGAAGTGTCAGTCTGACAGAGCAAGGAAGGGATGGCATGGTGAGATGGCAGTGGGGTGATGGTAGTTCAGGGAGCAGAAAGAAGGCCATGCGGTGTCTCCTACTTCTCTGCCTCAGCTAACCCTCTTTGAAAACGTCCTTGCAGATGCATTCAGAGATGCACCTCCTCCTAAGTGGCTCTAAATCCAGTCAAGTTGACAAGTGAGGTCAAGCCATGAGGCTTGAAGGAGGTGATGAGGAGTTGCCAAGGGTATAAAACTTCCACTGTGCAAACTAAAAAAGTCTCTAGAGTTCTGGAGAGTTGGCTCAGTGGTTAAGAGTGAAGGGTTAATAGAATTTTCACTTCTAGCAGACTAACATTAAAAAGAGCCAGGAGAGCAGCTCGGCTAGTTCTAGGGCTTTGTGCTATAAGAACAAGAACTTGGCTAACCACAAAGAAGATGGTGTAAATGATATGGCTGAATAAGACTGAGCCTTGAGATAAAAATGACCTATACTTCCCCATGATTGTTCCCTGAACCCTGGCACTTTCCACAGTTACCCCTCCCCACTCCCCCTGGGTTGTAATTTTTTCCTTTAAATACTCTACTCTCCCTGAGCTGGAGGTCGAGCTCCTCTCTGCCCCTGTGTGGGTTATGGGGTCTCGGCCTCAGCATACTGATTGAAATATACCTCTTGCTGTTGCATCAAGATTGGTGTCTCTGAGTCTTTTGGGTGGCCGTGAGTTCTTGTGGCTTGAGTGAGGGTCTCCCCTCCCCCGGGGGGGGGGGGCTTTCAAGAGCACTACCTGCTCTCTCAGAAGACCCAGCATTGATTCCTAACAGTATATGATATCTGTAACTCAGTTCCAGGGGATCTGGCACCCTATTCTGATCTCCGTGAGAATCATGCATGCATGTGACTTACAGACACACATGCAGGCAAAATATCTATATACATAAAATAAAAATAAATCTTTTTTTTTAAAAAGGTATCTAGGGGGCTGGAGAGATGGCTCAGCAGTTAAGAGGAATGACTGATCTTCCAGAGGTCCTGAGTTCAATTCCCAGCAACCACATGGTGGCTCACAGCCATCTGTAATGGGATCTGGTGCCCTCTTCTGGTGTGTCTGAAGACAGTGACAGTGTACTTATATACATACAATAAATAGATAAATATCTTTAATTAAAAAAAAAGATGTCTAGGGGGCCACATGCTTTAATTCCAGCAGAAGCAGAGGATATCCTTGAACATGGGTGACAGTTCACAGAAGCTGGGGACCTGGAACACACTGCATAGCCCTTTGTCTTTTGTGCACACAAACTGTATCCTGCTTGTCACACTTCAATTAGCAGGAAGCAAAACTGCAAAAGCCATTAAGGAAAGTCAGTACATTCATGGACTTTGCTGAAATGATGGCTCAGGCCTTTAATGAATTAGCTCTTTGTTCCTGTTTTGGTGGGTGCTGGGGCCCAGATGCTGGGTTTTAAGGTCAGAATGGTGTCTCTAACATGGCTCGTGTTGTGCTAAGGTCTGAGACTTGTTACAGTGGATTCTAGGAACCAAACTCAGATCCTCTACAAGGGCACTACATGTTCTTTTGCTGTTGTTTTTTTGGTTTGGTGTGTGTGTGTGTGTGTGTGTGTGTGTGTGTGTGTGTGTGTGTGTGTGT